TCGGCGAGGGCAGTGCAAGAGCGGTGCCAGAGCAACTGCCTGTTGGGGCAGGGCAGACGGCCCACGGGGTGTTTTCACCCGGGAAAGGGGAGTTGGGAAGAGGCAGAGTGTACAGGGCGGGCGGCAGGGGCGCGTTTCAGAGCGCTTGCGCTCCGCCTGTGAAAAGCAGGCCAGCAGCTGGGCTTTTAAAGAGCATTTTCACACATCCCGCTGGCGGGGAGCCGCAGCCTACATTTCTCCGGGTGGGAGAACGTGTGGAAGTCTGCAAATGGCTCGGCTGCCTGCAGGAGAGGAGAGCAGAGGGCCCACCTGAAACCCTGCCATGGGAGTTTGTTATGGCTGGAACAAAGGCCCGATGCAGGAATTGTTGGACTGAGGCTGTCTGGTGTATGTTATGTAGGAATTTAGACAAGGATATGGATAACGGTCCCTTTCTTGCTCTGAAGTGGATGGCTGCAGACAACCTGTAAGGAGGAGGATCCCAGCAGAACCTGTTCACTTGCCCGGAGGAGCGATGCGGATGGATTTTTACTACGCAGCAATACGTGATGGCAGTAAGGTCTGTCCTGAAGGAATCCGTTGGAATAAATTCCTGGTTTTAATCACCTTTGCCACTGCTTGAGTGTTTTACATCAAGAGCTGCGAGTGCTCGGCCAGGAGCAGCAAAAGCACTTGGGCTCAGGCTCCCCTCAGGGGACTGATGCCAAAACGCGCTGTGCTTCCCCCCTGCCCGCTCTAGAGACCGCGGAGCACCGTGACCCCCCGAGCACCTGCTGCTCGAGCTGGGTATCGGACCCCTACGGAAATATCAACCCTTTCTGGGGGGTAACTCCCTGGTGCCAGCCCGACGGAGGGAGCAAGCCCGACCTGGGTAACTGTCAACGAGCGACACCCTAAATCCATCAGCAGTTGGGAGCTTAACGAAGCCCTCGCATTTCTGTGCTAAGCGCTTCTGAAGGGCTCCCCTTAAATCAATGTTTGCTTATGCTGGCCAGCATTCTCACCTGTTTCAAATAAGAACTCCAAAGCACATTTAATTACAATTAGCAATTACCTGTGTGGTGGAATCAGACGCTGACGGTGGGATTTACGTCCACTGTTTGTCACAGCTGAACCTTAAATCCAAACACATTTCCTTTTTCAGCTTTTTCAGCCTTCCTCTGTGAGGTTGTTTTTTTTTTTTTCTGGTATCTAAGTACCAATCAGCTTTTATGCAAACCCCAAGTCATCTCAGATACAAAGGGGTCTTGCAGCTGTATGAAGGGAAGAATGCAGGATGCCACCAGGCCCTCTGGTTTCTTCCTGCAATGGGTCCTGGAATTTCTGCTGTGGAACCCGTTCACCAAAGACCTTGACTGCTGCCCTTTTACCAGCCCCTCAGGTTGTCTTGTTTGTGTTGTAAAAGGGCTCAGGCAGAAACGCAGTCTGAAAGCAAATGTAAGATGAGCGTATTTCTTCCAGATTTTAACTGCTGGAAGGAAAAGGCCATTCTATTTGGGCCAATGAGATATTTCTGTAGTTGCCAGAAACCAGTTTTTATGAAAGGTTTTAGAAAAATAAATACTGGAGGATTGTGTTGTTTCCTGTAAACAGTGAAAATAATAACCTCAAAACCTCTTATATGTCTTAATAAAAACTCCTCACGTAGCACGCTATGCTCTAAAAACGTCCAGCGACCCTACTGAGCGCACCTCTCCGTTAGCTGTGCCGAGCATACGTTGCAAGCTCCGGCGTTGTCTGGGAGCACCACCCAGGCGAAACTCTACTTATGTCCACGGGTCCAAAGGCGACGTCTTTCCCAGGGAAATCACCAAGAAGCGGTGTGTTTCGCATGGGAAACACGGTGCTGCTCAGCTAAGCCAGAAGTTCACTGGGGTGTTGCCACATGGCGGTTACTCTGCGGAACCAACTGTCAGTAGGCCCGTTCTACACCAAGTCCCCTTTGCCGGGGGTATGGAAAGCGCATGCCACATTCACCGTGGAGAGGATGCAAGATTTTGGAACAGTTTACGGTCTGCATGCCATACAAGGCTGGAAGTTGACGAAAGACTAGATGGCACACGCTCTCTCCAAACAGGCTGACACACGAACTCCCACGCAGTATCTCAGGAAATCATGGAATGGTTTGGCTTGGAAGGGACCTTAAAGACCAGCTAGTTCCACCCCCCTTGCCATGGGCAGGGACACCTTCCACTAGACCAGGTTGCTCCAAGCCTCATCCAGCCTGGCCTTGAACACTTCCAGGGATGGGGCGTCCACAGCTTCTCTGGGCAACCTGTTCCAGTGCTTCACCACCCTCTCTGGGAAGAATTTCTTCCTGATATCTAATCTAACCCTCCCCACTTTCAATTTAAACCCGTTACCCCGTGTCCTGTCACTACAGGCCCTTGTAAAAAGTCCCCCCCAGCTTCCTTGTAGCCCCTTCAGGCACTGGAAGGGGCAATAAGGTCTCCCCGGAGCCTTCTCTTCTCCAGGCTGAACAAGCCCAACTCTCTCAGCCTGTCCCCATAGCAGAGGGGCTCCAGCCCTCGGAGCATCTTCGTGGCCTTTTCTGGACTCGCTCCAACTGGTCTATATCCTTCTCATGCTGTGGGTTTTCAATACCCTTTCAAACGAATGGCTACGCTTGTGAACGTGCCTGTGTTTAACAACTTCTTCAGGACATGGTGTAGAGGCAAAGATTTTTAAAGCGTTCAGTGGTTAAACCCAATTTGTTTCCAAGTACAAAAAAAAGCGTCCTCCATGAGATTCACTGGATGCAACAAAATGAAAACATCGCGCTCAGTTTAGAAACCTGATGTATACACGTTCCCTTGAGCATGGGCATTGAACCTTTGAAACAACGTTAATTATATATAAATGACCCTTATTTTCTCCTCTAAGAAAGGAAAAAAATATACTAATACAGTTTATAGAACTGTGTTTTCCCACCTAAAATATTAATTTGAGGCAAGACGCTTTAAGGAAGTCTCATTTTCAGATCACGGGCTTCTGGTAATCACAGGGACCGCGATAATCCCATCAACTGCTAATTGTCAGTTACCAGCATACAACAGGAGCATCTTTCAGACGCTACAGCTCGCGAGAGCGAGGCCTCCCTGAAACGGCGCAGGGACAAACACTCCGCCCTCCGCATCCCTTCTGCACAAGCTGCTCTGCCGTCGGTGTCCTGCCAGGGAGAGGACACACCGGTGACTGGAAGCGCGCGGTAAGACGAAACACGTACGGCGGCGCGCGGGCAACAAGCGGCACCGGCGTTACCGAGGCAAACGCGCGGAGCGACAAACGCCCGGAGAACGGCCAGAATCAGGGAGCGTAAGGCCTCCAACCCCGCCCAGGATGCCAGCGCGTCGTTAAACGCTTCACTGACAGGCGACAGTGACTCGCGTGGCGGGCGTCAAAATCAGAGGGAGCCCCACGTTTCGGTGGAGCACCCGCACTGCAGCGGTACTCACATTAGCTCAAACTGATGATCAACCCCCGAGCTGATCGTTCTGCTACACAAAGGAACAACTCGTCGTAGAAGCACGCGTTAAGATCCCTGAGAAAACCAACAGTTGCTACATCCTTACGTTCTTTTACATTGAGAAAATCCAGTATTATCCCAAATCCACCAAAACAGAAGAAGTAATTTTACGGACAAGCTTATTGTTCAGTAGTCTGTGCCCTCTAGCTGGTGCTACGGCCTCACTGCTGTAAGCCTGCTCCTACGTGTCCTCACCTGGAGACCTCTCGTGCATCCAAAACCTTTCAGTCATTCAAAAGCCAAGGCATTTCTTCTTTTTCCAAATGGAAACCCACCACCATAGGAACCTGCTCCAGTCCTATCATCTAAACCTTCTGTCTCCTGTTACTTGTGTAACTCAATCGAGAAACTCTGTGACTATGTTCACGATAAACCTAATCTGCTTTGGAATACGCACGAATAACGCAGCGATACCACTCTGGCCCGCTTGGTGCCCTTCAGAGCTCTCACCATGGCCACAGGAAGGCTCTACGCGTTAAATTCCTGATCCAACTGCAAGATTATCTAATCAGCACATCCCTTTTTTTTTAGATCAGCTTTTCTGAAAGCAGTCTTTCTGTGTTATTATAAACAGTATTTGGCTCTCTAAGCATTCTCATCTCCACCCTCTTCCCTTTTTTCCTCCTTATCTCATCCTATTGCTCTGCAGCCCCTCAAAATAATCATTCCCTTCCTGCTGCCAGTCCACTAAATCAATAAGGTCTTTGAAATTTTCCACCTTGGTAGGTAGGTTACTTCTCGTCTCCAACAAGGGTGTCGGGAATGCTTTTACACCATCGACTTCGTTGTGGGTTTTGCTCACCTACAGCCAAAGAGCAAAACCAAACAGATTTGGTTTTATGAGATGAAACCGCACAGGTGAGAACCTGAGAATACCTAATGGAAGGCAATATTGTGATTGAGACAGAGCGGGCGACGCAAACATTAGGAAATACTCTTCAGTAGGTTTGCCAACGTAGCTCTTCTCTTACAGGTAATCATAATGCAAAATCCCACTGATTCAGATCTTTTCTCCATTCAGCCATTTTAATAGAATCACAGACTGGTTTGGGTTGGAAGGGACCTTAAAGATCATCTAGTTCCGCCCCCCTTGCCATGGGCAGGGACCCCTTCCACTAGACCAGGTTGCTCCAAGCCTCGTCCAGCCTGGCCTTGGACACTTCCAGGGATGGCGCATCCACAGCTTCTCTGGGCAACCTGTTCCAGTGCCTCACCACCCTCTCCAAATTTTCTCCAGAAACGACTGTCCTAAGAAACCCAGCCTGGGCAAGTCAGATTATGGGTCTACAAATACAGCCAGCACCACCAAACGGTTTTGAAGAAGCAGTGAAGTGTGCTCACTTCTGCGTTCGGCCAGGTTCCTCAGCCCTTTTCCCCCGAATACCTCACAGTATTATTCCAGACATCGCTAACGAAGCATGACAACAACCTCAGGTTTCCAGCATATCACTTTCAGACAAAACAAAGGGAGAAGTGAGTTCTACAGGTAACTTTTAATGCAAGTCTTGAAAAACTGAGAAGACACTGGTATTTTTGCCTTCCCAATACATGTGATTGCATTTATTCACATTCATTTTTACCTTTTCCTACCCATTTATATTCGTTACTGACAGTTACCCTTTTTGTTCTTACACAGCAGCACAAATGGTTCAGGGTTGTGACACCTCACAATAGCCTTGCTTGTCATTTATGCAAAATTTAAGAAAAAGTTAAGCCTAAACAATTATTTTTCTTAATCTTCTGGCAAGTCAGGATTTTCTCCTCATTTGTTAACAGCTGTGCCTGGCAGAACACACCAGAGGTACCGACACTCGTGACTAATCTAGATGAAGTTCAAGTTATCCGACGGGATAATTCTCTTCGGTTCTTCATTCAGCTCTCACTCATCCCAGGTATCTCCGTATTTATTTACTTTAACTAAAGAGAAGGGGGAAAAAAAAAAAAGTAGTCACATATGACTTAATTAACTGCAAAAGCTTATCTTGTAGCGTGCCAAAAAGCCCAACGAGATCCATTCTCGTTTGAAGCGGTGAGTGGGATAGTGTCAGTCAGAGCCCAACAGACATGGACCCAATTAAAGCTACTTTGGAATAAACGGGGAGAAGAGTTTGTTAATCACTATTCCTTAATGAATTAATATTCAGTCAAGAAGCCTACTGTGCTAATTCCCGCTCTATAGAATTTGTCATTACTTTGAAACAAAGACAATTGGAGGAAGCAGGCAAGGAATGTTAGGATAAATAATGCGGCTACATAATCCAGTTACGTGCACAATTGGATGGATTCAGGATAGCTAAAAGCACATTCAAAGACAAACAAACCAAAATCAGTAATCCCTACTAGGAAACTACTCAGCCGTTATTATTTGGCAGCTGCTTTTAGTATGGGAGTGAGTCAGAGCGAAAAAACGCGTGTTGGTCTTCACAGAGCTACTCCAAAGGATGGTGTGTGTAACTGAGGGGAGCAGGAGGAGGAAAGACGCTCTTGGAAGTCAGCTGCACAGTAGCCTGTAACTGCCTGCGTCACTGACGGCATCAGGGATGGATCTACAC